GCCCAGTGTCTCGGCAGCTTAGTGAGCATGAGAAATCGAGACCTTGAAGGGTGCTTGATGGCTTTAAAATCACTTTTTGGGTAGGCTGTCATCAAACTCCAAGACAAAATGCTACCGAAATTATCCTTCATCAAGCCCTACAAGCTAGTATTTCCTACAGAGGGCACTTGCAGATTTTGGTATACTGATGGATGCATGCTCGAAGATGGCAATGCTGGGCCCGAAGTCACGACAGCATAAAAAGTCCTGGTGTCTTTCAAAACTGCATACATTTAGGCTCCTGGACGACTGCAAAACTCCATTGAACCAGTTAAGTACGCATAACAGGGTGACTCGTAGGTCCCAACGGAGCCTATGTACATACATATATTGGTCAAAGCCTTTTTGTGGTCCATAAAAAGGATACACAGCAGAGCTCCCAAAGGAAAAAGGCAATCTAAGAATTGATTTGTTTCTCGACAGTGCTAGGCGTTTTCTTCCAAATAAAAAATTGTCGAGCATACCTACTTTGTATACATAGAAGAAAATGCACGTCAGCAAAAAATAAAAAATAAAAATTGCCAAAAATCTACGATATTTTGTAGCCACTTGATTTTGGTATTTTTTTTTAAGTTTTGTTATACAAAAAAGCAGTAAGTGGCAACCACGCCAGTGTGCCAGCTAGCTAGCCAGCCAGTCAAGAAGCTAGCAGCAGTTAGTCACTTGGTCTGTTTTGTCTGTCGGTTTGTCAGTATGTCGTAAAGTTGGCTGTGCCTGTGTGTTTACCAACACAAAAACGCATGCCTGACTGCGGATGCATGCATATACATACATACATACATACATACATTTTTGTGTATTTTGCCCCACACTACAGTGGTACCTTATCGCTCATTTATTTAAAATTCAACTCGGCACCTCGGAGTTCACACATTTGTTTACATACTCCTCCTCATATGTAGATAGTATTTGCAGCCGGCTGCCTGCCTACATTTTGAGTGGAGTTGCTCATCGAGCAGCTGAGTGCAATGTGTGTTTGAGTGAGTGAATACATAGAAGACTGTATGAGTGCGATCATAGTTTTCAGCTGCTCC